CAGAAATGCTCAGACACAGCTGAATTTCTAACTAGCATGAAGAGAGAGGATTGAGTGGGTTTCTGAAGCCTTGGAAATGTATGTGTGATGTCTCAGTGGTTGCCAGCCAGGTAATATTGTGAAGCTCGTTCTGGAGTCCTCCGGGCAATATTTCCGCTAACAGGGACTGAATTCACAAAAGGTGCTTGTAGAAAAGAATACGTTGGGTTTTTTTTCCTTCTGTGGCTGCACCTTGACCATGTGCTGGCTAAAATGGACATACTGATTTCACAGCCTTTTACTTTCAATATCCCAACAGGATGTTATGTGTAATATCATGTATACTACCTTCATGATATAGGATGTGTTTCCAGGGGTTACATGTGGTGAAAGAAATCAAGCCTCTTTTATGTTACTCTCCCATTTTTTATAACAGCTCCTTGGTTTATACTGTTTGTTTTATAATTAAGCAATAGGATGGATACATATTAGTGCTTTTTTCATGTATTGCACTGTATGTTGGAAAGTAACAGACATACAACAGGGAAATACTTTCGAAACTAAAAATATATCTTTTATATTGGGCTTGATTCTGATCTCAGTTATTCCAGTATCAATCTAGAAAAATTCCACAGAAGGAAGTGGATTTGATTCAGATTTACAAAGATACTGCTGAGAAAAGAATTTGCCCTATGATAGTCTTCAAAAATACAGTGTTAATCCAAAAGATAATAAAGATGTGTAAAGAAATGTGGAGGTTTCCTCCAGTGGGTGGTTGGTGCTCAGGTTTTTCTAAAGAAGATAAAAGGTTGCAGTTCAGATGGTCTTAGAAGAAACAACTATACTTTGATTCATCATCTCAAAGCAATTAACACCTGTTTACATTTTCTTTTGAAATTTAAGCAAAAGAGACTCAATTGAAAAGACTTCTTAAAATCCTATGCAGGACTCTGTTCAAAAAGTGAAAGGTTTAAAAAAAGTTCATGAAAAGTTCATTACATATACTTTCAAAATATTTTCCTAGAGGTTAAAAATCATGCTTGTAAGCGATTAAACTATGTAGGTAACTAATGAGACGTGTGGGGGGTTATTTCTTGTAGATGAAAACATACAGCTGTATTAAAAACTTCAATACAATGAATGTTTTACTAAAATTCCTGCAGGTAAATGGGTATTAATAAAGTGGAAACTTCAGTTTGCTTGAGGTACGAAAAGAAAAAAACTCACACACAAAAAAAAAATCAAGTGCAAGATATGCTGTTAGATGCTGAGTTTATATCAATAAATATCTGGCATCGGCTGTCACTGAACTCACTGGGTTTCTGTGTTCTTCTCTGTTCACGGCACTTGATAGTCCATCAGCTCATCCACTGCTCCCATTGACTTCAGCCAGAGCTGGGTTGCAACCCAAGAACATTAATGCAGTTGGGCTCTGGCTCCTTCTTTTATGGACAGTTTCAGAAGTGTTGAAGTGAAAGAACCTGTTTTTAGGGATAGTTCCAACTCAGATCTGAGTCAATAATTTTGAACAATGCTCCTCCTCTTGGATCCTTCTCTGAGGCTGAATTAGAACTTCAAAATACGTGTCAGTTGTGTTCCCGGTTATCGGCTGAAGGAGATGTGGGGCAGAAGGGTTCACGGTTGAGATTTTAGAACCGGGAAGCAGACTGACCACCTCAGGTGTGTCCTCACTGCAGCGCTAGTTTGACGTGCTTCAGCTAATATTAAAGTTCCTCATTTCAGCAGCGTGAATCACAATGTGTAACATCCCTAAACGGGGAGGAAAGTGGTGGTATTAGCAGCACGGGGGAGACCTGAGGTCATATGTAACCTGTATACATCTGCCTGTGAATATATTTTCTCACTGAGAGAAACTAAGAGTTTCATGCCTTTCCAAACAGTTGACATGTTGGCAGCTGCCCAGCTCGTAGGACAGCACCAGTTGGCAGCAGTCACAACAGGAACACCAGAGAATCAAAATATTTATCTAGGAAAATATTTAGAGATCTACCACCCAGCCCAGTGCTGATGAACACTGATGGGCAGCCTGGGACATCACGTGAGCAAAACTTGCTTTTTCCATCAACAAACCCAGAACTGAAATGTTTCATAACCACTATGGACATTGGAAACAAAAATCAAGTGTGATGTCTTCAAAGGGGGCTGATCCAAATGTGTCCTTCAACTTTACCTGCTAATGTCTACCATGGGAATTTACTTTCTTAAGGGTGGGAAAGGAGCAGAGTCAAAACATCTACAGGACATGCTGCTGTGTCAATGACTTTAAAGAAGTCAGAGGCATTTGTGTGCAAGTGCTCTTATTTTATGTTGAACCACATGATGGTTCGAGTTTGCACTCTTGCTTGGCAAGCAATCACATCATCAACACAATGAATTGTCTTATCTGACATGTATTTTGTCTGTATTTATAGTCACTTGAGGATTTCCCTAGATATCATCTGTCCCTTTGTTGTGCCTCTTCAAGATTTATGGAAGGTGTATTGGGCAGGAGATTCGATAAGATGAGCTCCTGAGGTCCTATGATCCCATCCTAGCCTAGCTTCTTCCACCAGCGTTAACTGGGGTTGAGAGCATGGTATTTGTCTTCCTGGGTGGCCATTCTGCGAAGATGTGTGCTTGAAAATCCCTTTTTCTATGTGGAAAGCTTTTGTCTTCTCTCTGCGTTCAAGACCGTGAGTTTCTTGAAGCAGGAGTTATGTCTTCCTCTGTATAATGCATCCCTAAACACAACCGCTGTGCATGACCGTACAGACCAGGTGACTTTGCTTCTAGAGTATCTTGCAAGGGCATAGTCCAGTACAAATCTAAAAGTCTCAGGTACCATCTAGTTCAAAGCTGAGAAAAAAAATTAGATATTGTACAGTAGGACAAATACATCACTCCAGAACAAGGAGTAGCTTTTTTTGCCACCCTCTCAGGCTCACAGGCTCATGAAGCCTCCCTTCTTTCCCCTGTCCTTCTCCAGAGCCACCGATGAGGCCGGTACCTGCTCACCTCCTTCTCCTTCCCTGTGAGAATAACATCTTCCTTGCACGTAGGGTCTTGTACCAGTGAGTCATCACTGGGTTCATTTAACTGATCTTAATAAAGATATTTTTGCCAGACCAGCCAATGTAGGATTGAGTCGGAAGATGAATCCTTTGTTCCACTGTCTGGGGAGAGGCCAGGTGTGTGTTCAGTGTGGCACAGTGTCCTCAACCTGGTGAGATACGTCTTTCCGAAGCGTGTTGTGCCAGCCTTCTCATTTTAAGTCTTAGCTACGTTCCCTCTTGCTAGAATAAGCATATCTGCATCAGCTTTGTGCTCTAGGAAGGGAAAATGATATGATTGCAAATATTTCCATGAGTTGGATGGTACTGCTATTTTCTTTTTTTACCCTGAAGAGAGAAAAGCTGTTCTTCTTGTCTGTAGGAATGACTTCCCCACAGTCAGAGATGGAGACTTCTGTCCAGGCCTCGCTTCAGCGTGCTGATAAGGAGATCAAGACAGCCCTAAAGAAACTCGTGGACTCGGCATCGCTGCTGGTGACTCTTCCCCCGGGCATGCGAGGAGGAGCCGGTGGCCTTGGTCTTCCTGGGTCTGTTCCTTCAGACCACTCAGAAACAGCAGCCGGGCCCTCTGTGCTAGTTCATGAAGCCAGTACCCAAACCCAGACTGCTGGAGGGCATGGTAGGTTTGGCACGAATCTGGAAAATGTCCCATGGGAGTCAAGAGAGGCAAAAATATTGAACACACCAATAATGATTTTTTTTCCCCCTCATTTTTCTGTTTTGTTGTGTTTTGAGCAGTTGAAGATTAAGAAAGGACATGCAGACTCAAAGAAACACAGGGCTGTTGGTTGGGGTTAGGTTGGACACCAGTTTGGGACAGATCTTCCTGGAAAAAGGAGGTGTTTGAAAACCGTGTCTGAAGTAGTTTAGTTCATCACCTGCCCAAAATGGAGGGATAGGGGATTTTTTCCACCTTTGGGCTTTTGACCCTGGACTTGCTTTAAGGTTTTTTGGAAGAAAAGCAGGGGTGGATTCCCTCCTTTACATTTACAGAAGTAATTTGTGTTTTTATTTGGTGGGGTGGGTAAGGGAGGTTGCTTTTCTTTTATTATTTGCTGTAAACAAGGTGGAAATGTATTTAACACCCCTGTGTCAACTGCCGGAGACTTTCTAGGATGTTGAGTGCATCAAGTTCACCTGAATTTCACTGGCCTGGAGCCTTGACAGACTCCTTAAGCAGTTTCCATGTGATTAATGCCAATGGTGTGTGTGACTGTGTCTTGCCAGGAGAACAAGTCTTTTGTCTTCGCACTGTTTTTTTTTTTTTTAAAAATAATTAATAAGCGGCAACCCTTCCACTCTTCCTTCTGCTTCTGCCCTAGCAGCTGGTCTAAGCTGTCTCTGTGTCAAGCCAGGGTAACTGTCCTCCACCAGTGTTAACTCAAAAGGACAATGTCAAATAGACTTCAGCTCTGAAACTCCAGATGCTGTTTTAAAAAAAAGAAATTCTTGTCTAAAACTTCACAAGGATAGAAGCGTTTCATGGAATCAGACCCAAAATAACTGCATTAAAAAAGGACAGGGGTTTAAAACCTTTTTTGCTTTCTGGTAGGAAATAGTCTGTGAAAATAATCCTCTGGTGAAGCAGGATGACTCAAAAATCATAAGGATTAACCAGCAGATTATTTCCTTAGCCATAACTACAGGGATAATAGAATAGTGAATGAGATGGTTCTGCAGTCTTTTCACCTGAGAAAACTGAATGTGTTATTAATATGGTGAAATATTTTAATGAGATGGAGACTTGACAACTGTCCCTGTGATCACGTACTTTAAATAAAAAGAAGGCAGATATTTCGGTAGTGCTGGCAATAGGAAAGCACAATCCCATCAACCTGGGATCTCTGACCCTGCCAGTAATTCCTTGAATAACCATGTTTTCCATCCTAACAGAGCTGGTTTATGTGATTTCTAGAAACTGCTGTTATTTTCCAAAACCAGCCATCACCAAACATCT